GGCACCGTCAGCTTCTGGAGAGTTTTTCATCCCCCAGATTTCTCGTTTGTTCCCGTTCACCGTTTCCAACAGGTCGGCTCACACGGTGCTCATAGGTGTTTCATGCAAGACTCGCCCAGTTTCCTGAGGGATAAGAACCGGAATCTGTGCAAAGCTGGTTCCCATGAGGCACCAGCTTCCCCCACCCCAGCACTTTCTCCTTCTCGGCTGGGCCCCGTAATTTGCTATGACACCTGCACAGACCTCACAGGACAAGCTCAGTGGTTTACCAGGGCAGTGGCAGGAACCGCTTGGCACTAGGTTCAGGAGTCTCATGGGTAAGGATTAGAAGGCTCTCCCCAAGGAGCAAGCTCATCCCTCCTTCTGAGCTAGGTGGCTCTCTCAGGCCCGTTCTTCTGGTGCCCGGCCCCCTCTTGGATTGAGGGTTGCAGCTCTCAGCATAGCAGGGTCGCTGCCCAAAGCAGCACTGCCCTCAGCCTCGTCCCTGCTGACCGGCCCAGCTCACAGTCACAGTAGCAACATGCTCTGCTCTCAGCGGCTGTCCCAGCAGCGGCCTTCTGCCGCCCCTGCTGCTTCTGCAGGGCCCCTGCCAGGTTTCTCACAGCCTCTCGCTGTTCTTCTTGCTTCTAGAAAGCTCTGTGAGGGTACCCGCTTCTATGAGCAAGCCCCTTGCCATTTGAAGGCATGGCCCTCCCAGCAAGACCACATACAGGACCAGTCATCACAACTCATTCAGTCCTGTTGGGTGGTGTGACTTCCTGTACGCCTAGCCCTCGGCGAAGGCTGGGAGGGAGGGAGAGCGTGAGCAGGCAGGTGGGAGCAGAGGTGCTCGGTGGCTGGGGCTCCTTGGGACTCTCGTCTCACACGGCCCACAGCAGCCATGCATGTCCCGCAGGGCCCCCACTCAGCTATGGCTGAGCCCCCAGGAGGAAGGCAACCATGACCAGCCCATAGAAGGCTCGCCACAAGTGCGGGCTTCCTGCAGCCTCTGCTCTCGGGCAGTGTGTTTGCTTGTTTTCCAACCGAACTTGGTTGGTTGTCTGGTGAGATGGAGCCCTGTGTGACCTTCCACATCCTGACCAAACTTGACCTTTGTCCTCGGCACCTTCTTGAGAAGTGTCCAGCCTCTAGGAGGGTTGGAAGGCTGGTGCAGTTCGCACCCACACGCCTGACATTTAGAAGGGCAGTGTCGTCGGGATCCCTTTGGCACGTTTACTCGTCTGTCTCGGTGATGCTGTGTGTGTGTGCGTGTGCGTGTGCGTGTGCGTGCGCGCCTGCCAGGGGCCTGCAAAGAGGGTGGAGAAGTCCAACAATCTTACTCCGTTTTCCCCACACACTTGGTGAAGCCCCCTCGTGTATGTACACACAGTCCCCGGGTGGCCCAGATGGTTAAGCGCTTTATCACGGGTGGCTCCAGCCCCACCCAGTGGTGCCTCAGAGGAAAAAACTGGCGAACCTCCGGGGCAGGGCAGGACCACCCCTGTGGGCCCGGGCCTGAACCTCTGCGGGAGGAGAGAGTCCCGCCGCTCTCCCCCAGAGCAGCTGCAGGTTTCCAGGTGCCAGCCTAGCACTTAGCAGCCTGCCCACTGCTGTCCCCTGCCCTGTCGCGTGGGGTGGCCTGCGTCCGAGTCCTCAGTGGGGACATGCCTGTCAAGCTGCGCTGCCTGTGGGCAGGCATGTGCTGTTGGGTCACTCAGCGAACAGCTGAGGGACCTCCCGCCTGTGCCCCGCCCCACACTCCAGGGCCTGCTGGACAGCCTGTGGGGGTGGGGCCTCCAACCAGCCCTCATCACTGCTTCCCCCACCCCCCCAGATCCTGGTACAGGTGAAAGACATCCTCTCCAAGCTGAGCACACTTGTGGAGACCACGCTCAAAGAGGTGCGAGCCGCAGGCTGGTGGTGGGTGGGGGGCTGCCTGCCTCAGGGTGGGGAGCCCAGGGCCTCACGGAAGCACCTGTCTCGGCCTGCTTCTCCCTCCCCCACCCCACCCCCTCATCTGCCCTGATCTCTCTCAGCCTCTCTGTCACTCCTCTGTCCCCGCTGTATCTCTCGCATGGTCCTTCTCGGTCGGCCATGACCTCTTCTTGGTCCCCCCTCTGCCCCCTCCCCACGTCTCTCTCTGGGCCCCTCCCTCTCCCGTGGCCTCTTTTCTTCCAGACAGAGAAGATGACAGTGTGCGGGGACACCCACGGCCAGTTCTACGACCTCCTCAACATATTTGAGCTCAACGGTTTACCGTCCGAGACCAACCCCTATGTATCCTTTCTCAGGAGAGCTCACCCCTCCTGGCTCCCCACCTCCACACACACACACACACACATGGGTGAGACTGCAGGAGGGAGGGAGACCCCTGCCCGAGACAGGAAAGAGCGTGAACGTGGGAGGGCTGGGCGTGGCTGCAGTCCCCAGGTGCTGTGTGGCCGCCCCTGTGGTGCGGCTGGGAGACCACATACACCATGGCAGCCGGGCTCCTACCTGGCTGGGCCCTGGTGTCAAGTGCTGCAGAAGTGGTGTCTGGCGTGGCCTCAGCCAGTCTGTGCAGGCTGGGTGCTGCTTGCTCCATAAAGGGGCCCTGAGTGGGAGGACACACACACACACACACACAGCCCCGTGGCTTCAGGCCTGTGTAGGTTCTCTCATTGGCTTCTCTAGAAAAGAGCCAGCTCGAGACCCCAACACCCTCCTCGGGACCGGCAGTCCAGCCTCATGCATCCCTGCCTGCCCCTCACCCCACCCCACCCATCCCCTCCACTGAGTTCTCCTTAGCAGGGCAGCTATTTAACGGTGACTTTGTGGACCGAGGCTCTTTCTCCGTAGAAGTCATCCTCACCCTTTTTGGCTTTAAGCTCCTGTACCCGGACCACTTCCATCTGCTCCGAGGTGAGGGGGTCATAGGGGGAAGGGAGGCTGCCCCTCAGGGAAGAAGGCGGGCAGGCAGCAGGAAAACCTGCCAGTGGTAGCGTTTCCCAGCCGGCGGCGGTCACAGCTCCGAAGGGGCGGGCACTGTCTGGTTTGCACGAGGGAGGGTGTGGAGCAGGCCCCTGGTCCCTGGGAAGGTGAGGTCGGGAGGCCCAGCGAGGACACTGGGTTACAGGGAGCCAGCGAGGGCCTTCCCAGAGTCCGTGAAAGAAACAGCCCATGTCTCTTCTCCTTTCATTGCACTTCCATGAATTTTTTAAAATGCCGCCCCTTTCCCGCTCGACTTACCCCGAGCAAGGCCCTGGTACCTCCTTCCTGGAGAAGGAAGGACAGTGGCATCCCATGGATTCTGGGCCTTGGCACCCCCGTGAGGACATCTGTGCCCCAGAGGGTTTCCAAGTGGTCGATGGTGTTTTTTTTTTTAAAAGCACCAGGCCTTTCTTCCAAGGCTGGAGAGGTAGGGGTGGGGGCGCCATCCTGCTGGTTTCCTGAGTGTCTAAGGGTGGGGGCTGCAGTTCCCTGTAGGGGCTTGCCCAAAGACGTGAGTGAGAGCAGCAGAACCAGGCAGGCAGCCGCCTAGCTTGTTGTCCGCGCCCCCGACTCACGACAGTCCCGTAGCGTTTGGGTGGTGGTGGGCAGAAGACGGCCAGGTCTTCCTTGTGCAGTGCCTCTGTGTGGGTTAGGACCACCGACCTCTAGATCAGCAGATCAAAAGCAGACCCTGGTCACAGTCTCTTCTGAGTCCTGGTGACCCACAGGGCAGAGCTGCTGGCGCCCTGGAGCGTCCGAGGATAGATGGGTCAGCGACGGACGGGCAGTCCAGGTTTGTTTTCTAGAGCTGGCCCTCGGAGGGCGGTGCCGTGCCACCAGAGCTCCTTCTAGATTAGCAGCCACGGCCGTCCCTCCTGAGGGGGCTGGGGACGAAGACATCACTCCCCAGCCTGCCCTTTCACCCACCGGGCGTCTGAGAGGGGCCGGAGCTGAGTAACCCTCTCGCTTGGCCAGGCAACCACGAGACGGACAACATGAACCAGATCTACGGCTTCGAGGGCGAGGTGAAGGCCAAGTACACAGCCCAGATGTTCGAGCTCTTCAGCGAGGTGTTCGAGTGGCTCCCGCTGGCCCAGTGCATCAACGGCAAAGTGCTGGTGCGGCCCTGTCTATCTCGGGACGTGGGGGCTGGGGTGGGGGCTGCAGCCCCCGCCCCTCCTCACGGTGCCCCCACCCACAGATCATGCACGGAGGCCTGTTCAGCGAAGATGGCATCACTCTGGACGATATCCGAAAGATAGAGCGGAATCGGCAGCCTCCGGACTCAGGTGAGGAGTGGGCCCGGCGGGCAGCAGTGTCCCCAGCACAGAGGACCTCCTGGGCTCTGGGCTCTGGCCTTGGCTGGAGCCCCCAGGGGGCTCTGAGCCTCCAGGTGAGGGTGGACTGAAGGGGTGGGAGGGGAACCCCTGCCTCTGGCTCCGGAGTGTATCCTCGTGGGGGTTCCTGACCCAGGTGAGCCACACTGGGGAAAGTGAGGGGTGGGTGGTCCTGAGGGGTCCCTACTGTGTCCCCACAGGCCCCATGTGCGACCTGCTCTGGTCGGACCCACAACCGCAGGTGAGCATCCAGGAGGGGGGTGGGGGAGGGCGAGGGGGAAGAGGGGCAGCAGGGCGAGACCGACATGCTGTGCTTCGTCTCCCCGCCCCCCAGAACGGGCGCTCGGTCAGTAAGCGGGGTGTGAGCTGCCAGTTCGGGCCTGACGTCACCAAGGCCTTCCTGGAGGAGAATGACCTGGACTACATCATCCGCAGCCACGAGGTCAAGAACGAGGGCTATGAGGTGGCGCACGGCGGCCGCTGTGTCACGGTTTTCTCCGCCCCCAACTACTGGTGCGTCCCCAGCCCAACCTCTCGTGTTCCCTTTAATGATTTCAGAGAACAGAACAAATTGTGTGCCCTGAGCCCTGTGTCATCCCCAGCCCTGTGGGGCCCTCCTCTCCCATGGCCCTGGGTCACTGCCCTTTCCTGGAGTAGGGGGCGCTGAGATCCCGTGCCTGCTCACCCCTCGGTACCCCGATCTCTCAGCCTGCCTGCATCTCCTCTCTGTCATTTCTGCTGTTTGGAGATTTCTGTTGTCTCTGCTTCCATCAGCATCTAGGCACCATGGCTTCCACCCGTATGTGTCTCTCCCTTTGCTGCCTCTCCACTCAGTCTCTCTGGCCTCCTCTCCCCCTGGAAGTCTCCTCTCTGCCCACCACCGTGTTCCCTGACCACTCTGCCTGCTCTGCTCTGTCCTGTCCCCACAGCGACCAGATGGGGAATAAGGCCTCCTACATTCACCTCCGGGGCTCTGACCTGCGGCCCCAATTTCACCAGTTCACAGCAGTGGTGAGTGCCTGCCTTGGGGTCCTTACGTGGGTCTCGGTGGCTGAGAGGGCTGGTGAAGGGGGCAGTGGGGCCGGGTGGTTCTCCTCACCTGGTCACTCGGCGACTACTTGAAGCCAGCCCATCTGTCTGTCTGCCCTCCCCACATCCACAGCCTCATCCCAACGTCAAGCCCATGGCCTACGCCAGCACGCTGCTGCAGTTAGGAATGATGTGAGGCGAGCCTGCAGGGAGGCCTGCGCTGGGCCCTCCACTCCCGAGACCTGGCCGGCAAGGGGTGGAGCAGGCCCAGCCCAAGGCCATGTCGGACCCCGTTTACTTTGTAAAGTTTGTATTTATTCCCCCTTTAGGTTTGCAGAGGGGGTGGGGGCAGAGCAGGGGGCTGGCCAGAGGGTCTGCTCCTTGGACACAGGAAGGAGGTGGAGAGGCCAGGGCCGTGGGGCTGGGTCCGGTCTGGGCATTCTGAGGGGAGACCAGCCTTGGGTGCCAGGGGGGCCACAAGGCTTTCCTGCACCCCAGTTTGCATGGCTCCTCCCCACCGCTAAAGCAATAGGGCCCCTGCCATAGGAAGACCCCCCGGGAGGAGGGTCATCAGGGAGGCCTCGCCCGCGCCCCCCTCCTGGAAGCCCCAGGACAGGGCTAGGCTGGGCCCACCCCCTTCCCCCAGCTATTTTATGTCTGTAATTAAATATGTTAAAATAAAGTCATTATTGTAAGTCAGTCTGTCTCGGACACCTGTGAGTCCCTTCCTCCCACTGGAAACCTCTGTCATTTGGAACCCCCAGTGAAGGGAGGTCGAGGGTTGGGGTGCACACGGCGGCCAGGAGCTCCGTCTCAGGTGGTCAGATTCTCCCCAAAGCCAGCCCACTTCTGTGTCTGCCGGTCATGGTGGGCCCTGGGGCGCGGAGGGAGTGTCCTGTTCCCCTGGGTGGGGACCCCCTCAGCAGGTGATTGTGGGTGTGGGGTGTGCAAAGCCACATTGGGCCAGCAGAGCCAGACAGAAGTGAAGCTGGAAAGAAGTCCACCCCCACCCCTGCCCACCCCATCCCTGGAGTGTCCTGTTCAGCCCTGCTCCGCGCCCACCCCCCTCCCACCACCCAGGCCATTGGGGCATGGAGGCCTTTGCCGGGGGCAGGAGGACTATCCTCTGACTGCTCACACCCACCCAGAGCTGCTCCGGAATAGGAAGCCAAGTCAGGGGCAGCCACCGCCCCACCCCCACCCGTGGTTCTTCCCGGCCAGAGCGAGGCAGAACTGTCCAGCCACCTTTCACCGTCCCTTCTACTCCTCGCCAGCCCCGAGGAGAGAGGCAGGGTTTTCTAATCCCAATAAAGAGTGGCAGCCCTGGGCACCCAAGGGGCAGTGCTGCTCTGGCCTACAGGGTCAAGATGAGTCGGCATCGACTTGACAGTTGGGATTTGTGTTCCCTCCCAAGGCATAACAGACGCCCCAGTCACCGTCCCCCCTGGCTCTGCACCACCCCACCGGGATTTCTCTCTCCAGTCCTGAGCTCTCTGGGCCCGCCAGGCCCTGGGGGTTGTCTCAGGGTGAGCAGCATGCGGACTCTGGGAGTCGCTTGACCTTTTGGTTGCCTCCCTGGCAGAGAAATGAGGTGACCGGTGTCCTGGTGGCCGCTTCCCACTTGTCTGAGGGGAAGTACACAGGGCAGTGGTGTGACTGCCCCTGTGGGGGAAGGTGCCCCGGGGTTCAGGGTGTCTGAGGGAAAAGGACGGGGTCCCGCGTGACAGTTCCACTTTCTATCCCGAGAAGCCCCCTAGGGGCAGCTGAGCGGGGGAGGCTCGGAGAGAGCTGGGGGGCCTCGTGCTCCGCGCTCACCTGGGGTCACAGGCAGGCCCCTGAGAACCAGGCTCAGATCCAGCCCTGCTCTAAGGCTCACCCACTGCCAGCCAGTCGATTCCAGCTCATAGTGACCCACCCTATCAGACAGGGTGGGCTTGCCCCATAGGGGCGCCTCCTCAATTTGAATCAAACCACCGACCTTTCCGTTAGCAGCCCAACACTTACATCCCTTTGCCACCTGGGCTCCTACGGGGACTGGAGCTTAGAAAGGCTGACAGCGCCCACCGTTTCAGCCCAGGAGAGAGGCACATAGAGTTTTCAGCTGCCCTCCCAGCAGTGATGTGATGCCAACACTCTAGGAATGTGGCCAACCACGGAAGCTCTCCCGTGGAACCGTGGTGCCCAGGATTTTGACTGGTGTGTGTGGGAAGGGTCTGTCACGTGCCGACCACCCATATAGCAGACCTTCGTCTCTAGGGCCTTCCAAGGGCCTCCGCCCGAAGGCCCATTGTTAGTGTGGACTGTCTGGTGGGGCCCAAGGCCCCAGGTACACAAGGGTCCTCCAGCAGACAAGTCTCCAACAGCTGAACAAGGACCGAACCCCTCCGGAACCCACCGGCTTAAGCCGCCTGTATTTCTAGTCCGATGGCTCAACTGGCTGGTCAGCCAAGAGGGCTCACAACTGCCAGCTGATGGCCAGCTGTTGACTGGGATCTGTCACCTGGAAGGCCCTCCTATAGCGTGGGCCTTTCCACATGGCGGCGGGGTTCCAAGACAGTGCTGGTCCCAGATGCCTAGGCAGAGACTGACTGCAAGATTTCCCAAGAGCCAACCTCAGACGTCCCACAGCATCAAGGCCACTGTGGCTGTGTTCTCTTGGTCAGGCAAGTCTCGGGCCAGTCTAGATTCAAAAGGGAGTGGAGAGCTAGACTCCACCTCTTGATGGGGGCGGCGAGGTTACAATACAGAAGAGGGTGGGAAAGAGACAAGGAAGGGGTCATCTTTGGGAGGCACAGCCTGCCATCGGGGGCCTCCCCAAGACAACTCTTGGGGGGAAAGCTTTACACACACACACATTTATCAAACAAACGCATAGCCAGTGAAAGACAGTCTTGGGAAACCCATCGGGAGGGTTCTACTCTGTCTACAGGGTCACCATGAGTCGGAATTTTCTGGTGGTGTCTTTTGGTAAAACTTGATTCAGAGCTTATCAAAGGTTTTTTGTTTTGAATCTGGAACACGAGTTGTGGGTACCCAGCCTTTCCTTACAACCAGGCGATGACGGGGAAGTGCCTATAGGTTTTCTTCTAGTACTTCTGTGGTTTCATTTTTTCTCTCGCTGGCCTCTTTGGAGTTTATTCTTGCACATGGGGTGGGGCGGGGGGTGAGGAGTGGGTCCAACTTTCCCAGCCTTCCAAATGGCCACCGAAGAGGTTTTAAACAAGAAGAGACGAGCTGGGAAGTTTAGTTCCATGACAAACACATCCAGCACCCCAAACTGCAAACCAAACTCACTTCCACCGAGTTCATCCCCACTCAGAGTGACCCTACAGGACAGAGTAGCACTGGCCCCTGTGGGTTTCTGAGCCTGTAACTTCACGGGAGGTGAGAGTCTCGTCTTTCTCCGGAGGCATGGCTGGTGATTTCGAACTACTGACCTTGTGGTTCACAGCCCTGTGTAACCACTACACGGTACACCAGGGCTCCATACCGCAAGGAAGAGGTTAAGATGCACATCTCATGTTTGGTGGGGGGGGCGGGGGCAGAATTCAATCTATAACAGGCTCCCACAAAAGGGACCGAGAGAGAAGCTGAGAATTGGAAAAGTGCGGGGAGGGGGTCTTGGGTTTACCAGCAGTGAACAGCTCTTGGACAGAGCTGACTTGTCAGCTGGAACCCAGAGATCTCTCCGCCCCACGCCCTAGGAGAAAGATGGGCCTTTCTACTCTTGGCAGGTGGGAGGAGGGGCCCACAAAAAACAAATAAAAACCCAGACTCCCTGGGACAGGGTAGAAATGGACCTGTGGGTTTCTGAAACTGTATTTCTGTAAGAGTAGAAAGTTGAGTCTCACGGAGGTCACCTTGCAGCTAGCAGCACCACATAGCCGAGACATCACTAAGGCTTGTGGCTTCCAGGTAAAAGCCAGATTCCACTGAGACTCACAAACCCTGGTCTCAATTCCCTCACTGAGGTCCAGCCCTGGAGCCCCCCACCAGCCTGCCTCACGGTCAGTCTGCCCTCGTCAGATCACTGCACAAGGATCCATGAATGCCACAGTGGGGTGTGTGTGTGTGTGTGTGTGTGTGTGTGTGTTCACTGGCGGCTTTCAGAAAACAGACCGCCAGGCCTTACTTCCTCCAGGTACTGCTGAAACCTGCCCAGCTGCACAGACAAGCGGTGGCCGCATGTCAGGTGCTTTGGCGGGGTGGGGAATGGGGACCCAGGGAGAATTCTGCCCCCGTGAGCCTCTCTGCATTGGATCCGGCTGCTGCACTGAAATTTAGCCTGCTCCCTCCACAGCAGGGCCTGCAGCTCTGTGCGGACCCTGCCTCCATCCAGTTCTACCCCATGGCCTGCCTCTGGCTCCAGCGCTTCCACGGCCTCTAACACATGGACCACATGCTGGCCATGGTCACTCTGTGTCCCTGCAATCCTGGTGTGTTAGTCGGGGAAACTAGAGGAACAAATACATGGACATGCCTATGGGTATGAGAAAGAGCTTTATATATAAGAGCAGGTGAATATTGAGAAAACATCCCAGCCCAGTCCACATCAAGTCCGGAAGTCTGATATTGGCCCATATATCCAATATCAATCTATAAATCCCTCTCCAGACTCACACAGCACATGCAATGACAGAATACAGGAAGATCACAGGCCAGTAGGTGGAAAGTCTTGTGGATCCAGTGGCAGTGGTAGCATCTCAGCGCTGGCAGGGGCCTCCCTGTGGCTCCTCCGCCCGCTCCAGAGCCCATGTGTCTTGTCAACAGAAATGTCTCACAGGGAGTCAGCATGTGTTCCGCCTCCAGTGAGCTACGTATCTGTCATGCCTCCGAATGGGGTCATCAAGCTGCGACCTGATTGACAGGCCAAAAGCCCACCCCTTCACTCCTAAGTCTCAAATTGACAACAGATTATGTAATTACCACACCCGGGCAATGGGAATCCCCTAGGCTTCCTCTGCGCCCAGAAGCCCTGGTAGCAATGCGGTTATACGTTAGACTGCCGTTCAAAACCAGCTGCTCTGCGAGGAGAAAGATGAGGCGCTGTACTCCCATAAAGAGTGACAGTCTCAGAAACCCACAGGGCAGTTCTACCCTGACCTACAAGGTCCCTGCGAGTCGGGTTCCTTTGCAAGCTGGCCCAGTCGGGCCGTCAGGAGTCTCTCAGGAGCTGCCAAGTGGGGGAGACCCAAGAACACGCCCCTCCACCACCCCGGTTCAAGGAATACAGAATCTGCACAAGAATTGGAAGCCATGACCTTATTGGCTCACCCACCATGCCATGCAGCCTCTTCATGTTCCAGAAGGGGAAACTGAGGCCAGCAAGGCGATGCGACTTGCCCCAGGGGCGCTCAGAGAGTGGGGCTGCGGAGCGAGCCTGTGTCCCCTGGCTTTGCCTCAGCCCAGAGCTCTTTACCACGAGGCTGTAGTCCCCAAGAGGTGAGGGGAGACAGTGGAGGGGCAGGGACACCCCCAAATGATCTGACCTGACACCTCAAAACCATGCAGGTTTAGAGCATGCCAGATGGCGCCCAGCTCTGGATGAGGGCTAGGGCAGAGCCCAGGGCTCCGGGGACCTCAGGCTGTGCATCAAACACAGGCGCTGGTGGAGGAATTGGCTCTGATTTACCGGTAGGAATGTGCAGCGGCTGTGGAAAATGATTTGGCAGTTCCTCAAACACTTAAATATAGAATTA